AAAAAAAAAAAAAAAAAAAAAAAAAAAAAAAAAAAAAAAAAAAAAAAAAAAAAAAAAAAAAAACACCAAATTGTTGAAAATGTCAAAGCAGTTGTGGGTTGTACTTAGCTGGCCTCAACCCCAACACTCCTCATCCCTTTTTCTCCAGCACTTCCCCCCATTATTTTAATACTCATCCCTCCATCTTCACCACATGCTTTGCATCATCCTTATATGTAATACATCTCCGATTTCACGTTCCACCTCGCTTCTAATAGTAAAAATTATCCCTACAAATCAATACGAGTTCTTTTAACATGTTTTGTTCCTATGATTGAGCCACTGGAAAAAGAAGGTGCATCTTATTGATATAGGTACAACTTTCATTTCTCATGATCACTCTCATTCTAATATAGTCTCGGTTCCTTCATGTACTTTTTCTTTACTCGAGTATCACATGCCCACCAACTTCCACCTTAGTTCGTCCCCGAACCACATTTTACTGGAAGAGATATCGCTATGGATTTAGCACCTGATAACCCTAACATTCTTTTCCATCCCCTGTAATATGGTTATATTATCTACTCCTCTCGAGTCGTTTTAGTTTAACTTCTTAACATGTTTATCTGGATATAGTTAGTTTAAATGATTAAATGATAGAGACATGATTTCTAAGTATACATTTTATCTTCGGTCACTTCCTTTGCTTTTTCAACTCTATTATGTTTTTTTATTTTATTTTTAATGTATTAGACAAGTACACTACATGTAGTAACTTTTTATTCAATAACTTCCTTCACTCTATATTTTCAAACATTTATTTTTTTTAAAAAATTAATAAAACGTATTTCTAAATTTTTAAAGGTAAATTCATTTTTTGCGAAAAAAAAAAAAAAAAAGTGCATACGTGTTTGGGGTAACATATAATTGGGTGGGACCCACAAAGAATTATTAAAACCAATAGGGTGTTGAAACGTGGCAGAGGATTGACGTGTATTATTTGTGGACCTCGTGGTTTCTGTCCCATTTATACGTTTGTTACTTTTAGTTATAAATAAATTATTGGACTTTTTTCGGCGATTGAACAACACGCGCCACCATTTTTCCAATTACCATAACCTAAAATAAATTAATGCAACTTGTAATTGAAAAAACGGTTAAAATTTTGTAAGGAAATAATATACTTACTATATAATATTACTTGGAGAAACGAATTATTTCCTCCCACTTGTAAATTTTAATAATTAAAAAAAGACAAATTTAATAATTTATAAAGAACTCAAATTCATCAATTTGATTATTAAATCTTGGGTGTTCGTCTTTTTCACATCATGAGAGACATTGGATAAATCCAAAATTTTCATAAAGTTTTCAACTTTTTTTAATTTTTTAATTTTTTAATTTTTTAATTTTTTTTTTAGGGTTCATCAGAAGTGGATTCAAATGGGCGAAATCATTTAACTCATTTTCGGTTTATGGCGAATCAATCAAAGGAATTAGCTTCGTTTAAGGAATATAATCATGATTTACCAAAACAAGAAAAATGAAAAGGAATTAACATTCCCTTTTTAAAGCATTAATAATTACTGGATTCTAAACAGGATTTGAAAACGAGGAAGAAGGTATGTTTTGAATTTGGACTAAATTGCTCTTAAATATTCTGGAAAAGATTAAAAAAATATATATTGAATTAATGAGATTTTTGATGGGCAAGTAAGTAACAGCAGAATTTGATTAAACCCTTTGTGGGTGAGGAAAGATGGAAGCATTAAGTTTGACTCTACGCCCAATGGCCCCTTCACCTCCATTCTTCATACTCGTCTGTTTATGGACATTAGACTTCCACTTTCTGTACATACGGATTGATGGGAGAGAGAAAGTGGAACAGAGTTTACCTTAAAGCATTTATAATAAGACAATGAGGGGGAAAACAGCCATGGGTTTCGATTAAAAGCATTTCTGTTTTATTGGATTCAATTGAATTTGTTCTTCCTTCCCTGTGTTTTGGGCCATTCTATAGCTATTCTTCTGCTGCTCATCTCCTTTTCGCCCAATCAATTTCTTCTTCTAACCTCTTTTCCCATCTGGGTCTTTGGAAAATCGATAAGGGGGCTCGGAAAACATTGTACCCACATCGAGATTTTCGACTTCTCTCTTTTTCTGTCAAGTTTTAACGAACCCCTTTTTCTCTCCTTTCGCCATGACTGTGGAGGCTCATTCGGTTACTTCTGTCGGTGATGATGGTGCCACTGATCGTTTTCCTGTTGGGATGCGTGTTCTTGCTGTTGACGACGACCCTATTTGTCTCAAAGTGCTTGAAACTCTCCTCCGTAGATGCCAATACCATGGTTTGTTCTCCCTCTAATCTTTCTTACCTATTTCACTTGCGTTTAATCTGCTTTCATCAGTCAAATCCATTTGCTCCTCCCCTATTGGTGAAATCTCAGGAACAATTTGGGGGGTTTTGGTTCTGTTGACTAATTTTGCTTGGTGGGATTCTTTTAGAATATGAGAATCGTAGCTTCTTGAACTGTGTTTTTGGGATTTTGGGTGTTGAAATCTTCCAAATGGTTGGTTGTTGGTGATTTAGATGTGGGGTTTTTTTTGTTTTGCTTTTCTTTTCTTTCTGCAGTTACCACGACGAAGCAGTCCATTGAGGCTTTGAAAATGTTGAGAGAAAATAGAAACAATTTTGACTTGGTTATCAGTGATGTGAACATGCCTGATATGGATGGTTTCAAGCTTCTTGAGTTGGTGGGGCTTGAGATGGACCTACCTGTGATCAGTAAGTTTCTTTCTCATGATTCACGACATCCTATGCCTTTATTTCATCTTGTCTTGTTTTAGATACCAACGTCATTTTTTAGGATCAGTTTGTTTCTGTTTCTTGTTTTTTTATGGTTGTGTTGCTGAATAGCTGAAATTAATGTGGTCTCTTTATTGCTACGATTATTTGAACTGCACTAATTGTCTTGTTCTTCAGAGTAGTTCGTTTGGTTATTGACTTTTCATTTGTATGATGATGGTGTCTTTCTTCTTCTCTAGTGTTATCAGCACATAGTGATACTGAGCTTGTTATGAAGGGGATTTCGCATGGGGCATGTGATTATCTGTTGAAACCGGTTCGAATCGAGGAGTTGAAGAACATTTGGCAGCATGTGATTCGGAGGAAGAAGCTCGAACCGAAGGCAAAGAACAAGTTCCCTAGTGAAGATAAGGCTCGAAATGGAGGCAGTGAAGGTGAACAAGGTTTCTCATCAACCAGTAATGCAGACAATGCGAAATTCAATAGGAAGCGGAAGGACCAAGACGACGATGACGATGAAGATGGAAAGGATAACGGGCTTGATAATGACGACCCCTCGAACCAGAAGAAGCCTAGAGTAGTGTGGTCGGTTGAGTTGCACAAGAAATTCGTCTCAGCGGTTAATCAGTTGGGTCTCGAAAGTAAGTTGGTGCTCAAAACTAAGTTAGTTCATCTGTGTCTCCAAATCTAACAATTTTCTTCACTCTTTATCA